GTCCGCCTGCCACGCCCATTACAACTCCATTCCCACGAGGTGTGCGGACTTTATCATCGCAATAAAACCCAGCTTTTTCACATGTTCCTCGCGTAACATCCACCCAGAGGGATTTCCCGGATCGCGTGGTAACGTGTTTAATGGATCCGGCGAGCCATTCTGCCGTCATTTCGAACGTAGCAGTAGCCATTTCCACTCGCATGGGACTTTTATCCACCCAGTTGGCCATCAGCTCACAGGCTATTAAACAGTCCTCCACACCCGCGTCTTCTACCTCTCCAGTCGGAGGTATATTAGTCTCACCGGTACAACTATCCTTAACGAAGGAGATCTTCTGATGTCGCGAGTAAAAGGCCACAGCGGGGGACACTGAACCCACAATATTATCGAACGCCACACCCAAATCCACTCCATTTTTACTAAACGAAAGCTCGCCTTTCTCGCAATCCAGCTGTAACCCAATGCAATCTCCTTCCGTGAATGTCTCGCCGTATGCTCGTATGCGGTTCCGCTGGTAGTACAGTGCTTTATCGCCAATAAAACCCCAAGATTGATCGTCCGCTCCAAGGAATGAATCCAAGTTCGCTTGTCGAGTAGCGACCCCTACAAAGAGATACGGAGAACTAGACTTTTCAATACGCACCAGCCACGAATGCACGCCAGTCGAGAAGCTCGTGAAGGCACACGCAGCTTTCCATACCTCATTCCCAGAGTACGACACACTGAGGTTGTCTTCTGCGAAGGATAACAAGCTACTGCGAGTGCGTTTGCGGTCAAACAGCAGCAAACAACCTTCCGATTCCGACGCATCTCCACTGCTACTAGCGACCATATGAGCGGCAGGTGTTGGGGCCACGTTAAACCCAGTAACGCCCTGTAGAACGTGCAGCAGTTCCACGTACCCCTGGAGATACTGAGAGAATAACAGTCGACCTTGACTCAACTCGCGACTGTGTCTTACAACAGCTGCAGTTAAGAAGTCTTGGACAACCAGTTGTGCCTCGTTTACCATGTCTTTGTCGACATTTTCTATGGCTCTCAATACTCTGCTGATAGTGCGAAGGATGACAAACTTCAGCGGCAAATTCGTCGTGCCAAGACAACGTCGTAGACGGCGTAAAATAATCTTCGCAGCATCAACAGAAAGACACAATGACGAGTGTGTAGAAGCTGCTAGTAGCGCGTCTAGCAGCCAAATAACAATTTCAATTCCTGGCTCTTCCAGCACAATTTGATCTGGACGATGGAGCTCCCGTTGCGTCCATAAAACAGCTTCGTACGCTTTACCAGCTGCTGCTGTTTCCAGTTCTTCAAGGCAGAATTCGAACGCTGACGCAACGAAAGATGCGTCGTGCTGGATCAAATATCGAATCGACATTGAAAATACTTCATCAATAGATAATTTTTGCAACTGTGTCGACGAATTTCGCACAATAATTGCGAATTGATCCCCACGTAATCCAGCGAGTTTTAGCAGCTTGAACCACTGTTCAAACGGTATCAAAACCGGTACTGACCTTGTCTGATGTAGCACTGTGGCCATAATCTGACGAGCATACAGGATTGACAACGTGTTCTCGAATTCTCGCAGCTGGCGGACAAGATCTTGAAGGTCAAGTTGGTTCAATTCTCTCTTCACTTTCGTTTCTATGGCGTCAGCTCGCCATGATTTCATAAAACGCGACTTGGTATTCGACAGGAAGCCTCCATCTTCGAAAGGAAAATACATTTCCGCAAACAATTTTCTCCCCATTTCTTTGTCATTTAAATGAGGGACATCCATATCGTTCTCGGCGTCCTTTGTCGTGTTAACAGTCGCACTTAATGACGGAACGTGCGTACTACCGCTCGGTATATCGTCAGTATTCACGACGTCGTCCTCTTCTTCGTCGAAATGAGGAGAATCTCGTCCCTTATCGCGTTCTTTATCCAATGTGGACTGTAACTTACTCAGATATTCCAGATTGTCCACAATCCAGGCCGACGCATTGACGATATCGTTCTCGGTTTGCTTTAACGCCAGCACGCACCAATCTTCCGGAAATCCCATCAGCATCAGCTCCTCCACGAACTCCGCTCTATTTTCTTCAGCGTCGTCTTCGTCGTCGTCATTGTCTCCATCGTCTAAACTCTCGTCTTCCTCGTCGTCTTCGTCGTCGTCTTGCTCGTCACCTTGAGCGGGATCCCAGCTCTCATTTACCGGTTCGTCTCCATCCGATAAATTACCGTCATTTAAACGCATTACTTCGGTCGGCGTTAGTAAAAAGCTTCGACGCCCTGTCGTCATCTCGTCATTAAAAGAGGCACTTTGAGCGGATGAAACCTCGCGTTTACCTTCAAATGCACTCGCCAATTCCGCCTCTCCTTCCTCCCCAAGATCAACCAGCGCAGTGTACACTTCTCGACGTAAAGAACTCACTCGTTTCTCCACGTTGTAAAGTGTGTCATGCTTCGGATTGCTATCCGGACGGGATGCTATCTCTGTAATTGTTTCAATCAACGCTGGCTTAGCTAGTAATTCGTCAACTCCAGAGTCCGTTCCAGCAATTTGTACTAGAATCTTCAGTAACGAGCATCCAATATTCAAGGAGATCAAATCCCCGTCAGATTCGAGGTAGACAGCAGGAATCACCTCTGCTGCCTTTTCCACCAATCCGTTAGCTGCTTTATGGTCACATTTATCCCACGCGACGTCGTAGATTATATTCGAATACGCGCCGTCATTCGCATTGGATATTTCAACCGGCATTAGCTCGTCAATATTCAACTTCGAATAAAGTGAACTGGTATCTGGAAAATCGACATTCGAGCCAAAAACTTTCTCGAACCAGGATTTTTCGTTGCGATTCTGTAGTCCGTCGGTACGTTTGAGAATGTTGGGGTTATTATCCATCCGGATGTGAGCTAGGGTGTCAATTTGTGGCGGGTATCTTGTATCGGACGGGGTCTCGGGGAAATTTTGAGCTGAGTTGGATGCATGATACTCGAGCGACAGAACCTGGGCAATATCTCTCGATCCTCGCACTTCTACAGTGATCCCTGGTCTTAAAAACTCGAAGCCTCCACTAAGGAAGTACAAGCAGCCTACCGATTCCACACACTTGACGGTAGAGAAACAAAGTACGTGCTTTCCAAACTGAATACCACAAATTTCAGGCTCGACGTCTCGAGAATTCGAAAAATTCCGGGTAATATTCGAACTCACTCGAATAATACTCTGGCGCCACGTACCGTTCGAATTTCTGAAAAGCCGCTGTAGAAGCTGGTTTAGTACATTCGCCAGCATCAGACTCTGCCGCTTCGACGACTGGTACCGCCTCTCGACATCATTTTCTAGATCGAGTTGTAGCTCGGCGTCTCGAACCTCAAGAGAAAATTGATTACCATGAATTCCACGAGCCAACATCAGTGCCCACGGCACCACAGCAGCCTCGCTGGCTTCTAAAGTCCTTTGTGGACATTTGTTCAAGCAGAATCCGATCATTCGGAGCACTTGCTGGACGAAAACATCCTCCAATGTGTAGAATCCAAGGGCCTCTGGCGTCTCTTGTACCAGCACTTTCGAAGCATCCACGGGGTGTTGAAGAGGTAGTAGAGCACACAAGACACGTAACGCGGACTACTGTACCACTGCTGAGTTGGTACCGAGAAACGTACCCCAAATGAGCTTCATCCAATCGTAAAATTGGGAACGGAAGTGAATTATTCCTTCAGATGAAGTGCTGAGTAGGATGAGTAAAGCGTGCAACTCCACGAGTTTCGAGTGGTCATCGTCCCGTTCACAAAGTCCAGAAGGAGTTTTCTTCTCGTCGTAAACGATGCGAACGTGGATGGGAGACAACGAGCGATTGTGGAAGCGGAAGTGGCTCAACCAGCCGTCGAAACACCGGAACGCGCCTGATGTGTGATCCGGAATATTCATTCCGGAGTCCCAGTGAACTCCTTTCATGATCCCAAGTGAGCGTGACAGAAAGCCAATCGCCGAAGAGACGGAGGACGTAGTTTGCGTCATTGGGAATCTTCCGAAATGAAGCGAAAGATCCACGTTCCCAGCCGCCCATATAGCAGTACTTTGCGCTACTAACGAGCGTTGACAGTCGAGAATACCGTTCAAATAGAGGCGTATTTTCATGGCTTCTAACACTATCGCCACGTGGACCCAATTCCCGCTTGCTACGCCTTGTTTCGACATCATTCTCTCCCATATTCGGCCCTTAATAGGCAGCTCTCCAGCGTCTCCTTCTCGGTCTATATCCATGAGAATGCCCACTTCTAGTTGCCAATTACCAGAGCTTTCAGGTAGGAGTAGTAAGTACAGCGATATCTCACGTACAGCACCTCGAATAAATATCAA